GATCTTAAGGGATGGAGTTGGAGCTCCTCTGAGTTGCCCAGATTCATGTCTATTTCAATAAACCACAACCAGTACAAAATGCTTGGCATTCACAACAACTAAAGCTGTTTGTCCCTAAACAAAAAAAAAAAAAACCCATCTGTTTAAAGCTGCTGATAATTGTGGTGTGTGCATAACGAGGGAAAACAGCAACATCCTGCACTGATAGCAGTACGACAAAAAGTTGCACATGTTGGAGAAAGAAGTTATATTAGTTATGTCTTATTTATTTATTTTATTTTCGTCCCGTATTCTAAAATCAGTGCTGTCTGTTGAATCTGTTTGCTTCGTCTTGTATTTAGTGCAATTTGCTTCGGAAATCTGGTGCAGAAGTAAAGCGAATAGTTTGAGCTCAGCAGCTCCAGACACAGATTGCAGTGTCACTGCTGGTAGGTTTGAGTAATGGCCACTTTGGATGAAAGCAGACAATGAGGTAAAGGTGATGCTCCAAAATGTTGGCGACTAAACTTATGCAGCAAGAAGCATGGCAACGACTCAGCAGGACCTTTTTAAAAATAGTATCCAATGAAGTAGGTTAGTAGATATCAAACGTTTGTCATTGAATGATAGTGGAAGCAAATCGGCTGGAATAATCTAATTGTCTTTGTTTTTATCTAATCAGTGAGTGATTGAAGATGGAGATAGGAGGAGCTCTTATACCAGAAAGGTAAATCCAACATCAGTATGTCAGAAAACTTCAGTTGCAGACGTTTGAAGTTCACAGGGAGGAGGGAACTGTGGGACCAACACTGGAAGAAAAATTCTCCATCTCTGTATCCCTCAACTATCTATTTTTTTTTCTGCTGTTTGCTAAGAGTAGACATACTCTTAAGATAGGAACATGAAAGCAAATGGAGCAGTGGGAAAACGCAGCAGTGTTATTGCAGGAGGCTGAGCTCTTGTCAGCCTATTGAGTTGTTTACATCCGCAGATCCTGACAGGAGTTCGAGGGCTCAGATTCTGGCAGGACGCTGCGTGACCTGGAGGGAAGGAAGCACAAAACCCTAAAAACCAAGAAAAGCTGTTTTTGTTTATTTGATGTTTTTTTCTTTCTCAGATCATCAAATACATTTCATTTGTGGAAAACTGTAAAGATAAAAGGAGTGAATTTGTGCCCATCTAAAATCTGCAGCAAGATAAAAAATAGCAAGCAAATCAGTTGATATATATATATTTTTTTGCTTTCCATCTGCTCTCAGGAATCTGACATTTGCCTATATTTGATTACAGATGACACACAAGCCTGTCATTGTTTAGCGTCTCAACATAAGAGTGTTTTTTTTTCTGTTTCTTATCTGTTTGCGGCTGCAGAACCAACTAATTAACATGAAACGCTGAGGCATTAAAAAAAACCAAGGAGAAAGAAAAAAGAGCAGCTCCTACTCAAACTTCAAGAAAAGCGTCTAATCCGTGGCTCTGCTAAAAGCACTTTGATTGACAGGTTTGCTCTTAGGCTGAGGCCTAATTGCTAAGATGATGTTGCAAAGATTTAAAATAAATGCGGGTTTTGCTAGCAGTGACTGCCACTAGGTTAACCCTCTCTGATTTATGCATTTTTTAAAGGTGATTTAAGCATCGGCGAATTCAAATTAAGCAAGGATAAATTCACTACACACGCCTTTAGGTCTGTCCCTTCGAATGTTGCTAACTCAGCAAGACTTTTTCTTTATTAGATGTTTAACAACAATCGTCCAACTAGAAAGCAAAAAAAAAAGAGCAACCAGTAATTGGAATTGATTAGAGAGAATCAATCTGACACTGTCCAAGGCAACTACTGATTGCAAGCCAAAGCGAGACAGTGACAAAGACGCCCCGCATCCTGGGCTTCCAGCTGCACGGATTTTGAGAGACACCACCAATCACATCCCCCTCCGTACTGTACCGCTAGTTTGTCAGTGTTCCTTGACGTCTGTCACAGGATGCATCTCTGCGTCGGAGGGAACTGTTCAAGGCGACTCGACGGAGGCAGATGGAGAGCAAAACAAATATCTTTTATTTGACGAAACTAAAGCGTACTGCTGAGCCGGGGAGGGAAGCAGCGGAAAAACCAAACAGGAGCCTGCCGAGACAATAACCAGACCATTGATAAGGGCTGGAAAAACTGAAAAAAAAAAAAAAAATCTGACAAGGTATGCTTTTACTAAAGAGTGTTTAAATTTTGAGAGTGAAAATCTAAATCGGGAGTCGGGGTGACAATCAGAAAGACAGTTTTTGTTGTGGATATTGTGTAGCTAGAAGGATTTTTGCTCTTATTTTACACAGTTGTTATGATGCACAGCCATGTGTTGCTGATTAGCATCTCAAACGTTCAAATAATACATGACCTATGACCCCAAATCCCAGAGAAGATGAAAGGAGGGCTTATGGGTAACGATCACATCCCCAACTCCAACATCTGATGATGCAGCCAGGCAGATTTGAAGGGGGATGGCAAAAGCAAATGAGGTGGATTAGCAGTAGTCATCAACTGAATGTAATCTAGGAAATTTTACAGTGAAATATAATCTCAGTTTCCCAGAGTTTGAGCTGTTGTCATACAGCAACAGTCTTCAGTCAGAGGCCTCCACAGATTAATTGGAAGACTGACTGCTTCCAGAAATCCCTGCTGCCCATAGCATCATCAACCACAATGACTCTTTGGAGATGCTTGGCTGTGACATTTGATGTCACTTTGGGACGGATTAGAGCACTTTTGAGTTGAATCGGATTTCTCCTCATGAGTCTTCCACAGAGGCCAGACGAATACCAGCTGCTTCTCTGATTATTTCCATCGGTTTGGCTGGCAGGTTGGTATTTGTGGCCCACTTTGAATTTTCAGAGTTTTAATTGATCTTAAGTGGGACTGTGCTTAATAGCTTAAATGATTTCTGAAGGAAACTTCAGAAACCGGATTTTATTTAAGGGTGACTGCATGAAAATGCAAATAAGACGTGAACAAACCTGTTGTTTAACATCAGGTCTCTCTCATTTTATTTTTGTTTTAAGTTCTGGTGGCATGTTTCACAACCACAGGAACATCATGTTCCTCTCATTGGATCAACAACAGACGCTTGTGGGCAAATAAGGAGACAAATTTAAGTGATTGGACCACAGGCACAACTGATGACCACTATGTGTGGCAAAGTGCCACAGTATTCAGGCGGGAGCACATAATGATGCCAGACTATGCAGAGAAGAGAAACGTAATCAGGAATTATTGTGCATCTGTATGAATCTGGCTTTGTCCAAAGTGACTCCTTCAGGTTTTTGAAGCCGTGTGCCAAAACAAGCCCTCGTGGCAGCTGGACTTGTTGGGCTGCAGCTGAGAGCGGCCCACACAGGAAGACGACTTGGCCGCGACAGATTAAGATCAGGGTGACAAATGAGCCGCGGCAAGGGGAGCTTATTTTGTGCCGGTGTCCAGATTATCTTGTTAAAATCGATGGAAATATGCAAACTTTACGCTCCCTGCTGCCTGTAACAAAGAGAGGAATGAAGATATCACGCAGCTTTGAGACACAGAAGTGATTAACTAACTGACTAAATTTTGTTTACTTATTTGCCTGAATGCAGAAAACAGTGCAGCTGATGCGCATTGTCACATTAGTGTGTGATGTTCTCAGAAACCATCTGGCACTTTCTTAAAGGCTGTTGCGACAGACTTTTCTTCCCCTTTGGGCTTGTTGGCATGATGGAGCAGAATTGGGGACAACAGGCAGCTTGAGTTTATATAATTAGTACTTCCTGTAGAAGCGCTCTTTCTGATGAGCTTTTAAGAGCAAACAACAAATTGGGGAAATACACTAAAGTGGCATATGTTCTGATGCATGTGCAAAAAGGAAGACTCCTTTGCAGCAAAGCAAAGTAGCCACAACTCCATTTGTTTCAGTGCAGTAGCAACAATTCTGCGGGTTAAGGAGCTTATGTAGGAGCAATGAATCCCTTGAAGGAGGTGAAAATATCAGGTTGTTTGGCATAAAATTGAAGGTTCTCTTTTCTCTTGACTGAAAATTTCATTCAAATGGTCTTCTATATGTTTCTTGAATTCACACCAGAGCATTTTTACATATAATTTGCATTTCACTTCCAAATTTGTCATTTCCCCCGTAGTTCCTCTTTTTGTAAGAAGTCGGGGGATTAGTCTGTAGCTGGATTCAGATTCGCCTTCAATTGTCAAGTTTGTGGGCACAAGCTGGAAATTTGACTTTGGTTTCACACGCCCATTTCAAAGGAAATAATAATAATGATAGTAAAAACTTGTGCACATGTATGTCAATGTTTTTTTTATGATATAAACAGGTGGCAAAATGCAGAGGAAAATTTGAAAACAAAATTAAATTTCTGTTTACAAAAAAAACATTAAGTTTACTATTAAAAAGTACCTTAAGTGCATAAACATTTCATTTTTAATATGTGTAACTTCAAGGCATTTGTTTGTTCTTGAGTGCTAGAAAAACTGGAAAATGTTTTAATAAAAGAAAATATATATTTATATTTGTAAAATTTGGCAAGAGTCAAACAATTGACTCGCATTGAAATCGTAGTATTTATCTTCCATAGACAGAGGTCCTTTTATGTTAATGCACTGTAACATCTGGCACATATTTGACAATTTGTGCTATTTTCTTTTGCATATTTATTTTGACTATCATTTTTTTTGTCTTCATGCTTTTTTTATGCTCCCCCTGGTAAACTGTTATTGTATTTTTTGCGTTATATCCACAGTACATTTGTATTGTTGTTTGTCATGAATAAAGTTTATTGAAAAAAAAAGAAAAATAAATAAATAACTTTTTGCTCATATTTTCAAACTAAAATATTTGTAATTATTTTTACAGCTGATGGGACCTTAAAAAAATGCAAGTTTTGGCCATTTAATCGGAGGAAGAAAATAGTTGTAAAGTTCTGTTATGTGTGTTTCGGTGCTGTCACACCTGGTTTAATTAAGCACGTCATCACTACGTAGGTAATTAGAGCCAGGTGCGCGATCACGGAGACGCGTCGACAACACGAAATATTGCTGAGAAAACGAGGCGCTAATTTTCAAAAGCAGGAATTTTGCGAGGTGAGGTTAGACTTTGAGAGTAAAAATGAATGAAAATAGCTTAAGTTTTAAAGAAAATCGTCACTAAACGTTTTAAGACACGGAAGCTGTCGGAGCAGAAAGAGGTCAGCGGATGTCAACCTTTAAACCTGAACCGCTTGTTGTGCTGCATTAAACGGAACAAAATGTGAATACTTTTTATTTTTATTTTATTTGAGTTTTAATTTGTAAACCTTTGACGACACACCTTGCTGTTTTTGAATTATTCCCTGTTGGCTCTGGTTTGTTCAATGTTGTGCTGACTGCAGCAACTAATTCCCTGTTAAGGTCACAATCCCAGAAAGTATCACAAACACATTCAATAATCGACATCCCAGCAGATATTTTGATCATTCACATGCGTTGAATATTACTGTGGCATATTACCATTCTGTAGTTTAATCAGGAAATTAAAAATGCAATAAAGTTTTAAAGAAGTTTAGCATCCTATTCTAATATTTCCATAATTTCTCTACTTTAAAACATAAGGTGGTGACACAATCCAAGCAAATACCCATTAAATATGCTACTTCAGTGGTAATGGCAACAGTACTTGAGCATATTTGACAGCTGATTATTTACATTTTTTACAAAATGTTGTTCCAAATGCATGCTTTAAATAAAGTTTGTCTTTAAGAAACATTGTTATTGACCCATTTGGCGTGTGAAAAAAGTTTTTCTTTGAAGGTAAAGCTAGCTATAGCTAACTTGTCTCTTGGTTCATTATAAATTTTTCCAGTGGGTGAAGAAATTCTCAACATTTAGGATTCATCACATTGTAAATGTGATGTATTTCCTGACAATTAAATGCTTTGGATTGTGTTTAAAAGAAAAACCATCATTGCGTTTTATTCATGGGTTTTTTTCTCAGAATCTCAATCTCAATACTTGTTCTGTTGTTGTTTTGGTTTTCTTTTTACAGTGCTGAAGATGATGCCCAGATGCTGTCACACCATCCCAACCTTATCCTGATGGCCTTTACAAACTTCTGAGGAGAAAATGATGCGTTTCCCCACAGACGTTCAGACGGGTTCTGTATCTGTCAAGATATGTTTCTTTTGAAGAGACAACCGACAAACATAATGTTTGCATTATCTTTGTTTGATGTTTGTTTTTTGGGGTTTTTTTTGCAGGGAAAAGACTTGCAGACACACCACCTGGATCCCGGACTGGCAGGGACCGACACACTGCTTCAGATGAAAAGTTCGACAAATGGCTGCCCGACTCCCATCGAGAAAGGTATCTGTCAGCAGATCAGATAATTATCAAAAATTATTTTAGATTTTTATTTAACTGAAGGATGTTTTAAAACTTCAGCATAAAGATCTGACACATAACTAGTAAAGTTTTGAAACTGAAACATTTAAACCAATAGTTTATGCTGCTTTTCATCAATTTAAAAACAACACTCAAGCCATTTTAAACCTTTTAAAAAAGTAAAGTAGCAAAACATATGGTTTGGAAGAGATTATGAATTTGGAGCGAGAAATTTGCTATGAACAGAATATTTTTAAACAGACTATAGGACTGATTATGGGGTTACAATTAATGACAAACTTAAATCGGCTCCTCTTATTTCTTTATTCCAGATTACTTTCAGTCATATATTAATTTTTTTTTTTTTTTTTAAGAAATGGCTGAATTTTGTGCCAGGGGCTTAAATATTTCCTCAAAAGTTGGCCAAACCAACTCTAATGCTACAGTCAGTCAATTGAATTTACTACAGGTGGGCTTAACTTAAGATGTATTAACCAAGTGAGTTTTGAGTTTTATGGTAAACGCTGTGAATACTTATTTTAAATGTATTTTCTTGTTTTCTCAAATTTTGATCTATTTCAGATCAAATTGTCATACTGGGTTATTTGTGTGTTAAATTTTGTGGAATGATATTGATTTAATACAATTTTGAAATAAGGTTATAAGTGCTAGCATTTCTGTAACGTGGTTCATAATTTTATCTATTGGTGGATATTTTGATAGAAGCTTTGTTCACTTGACTCCCTGCTTAAATCTATAAAATATGCAAGTTTCCAAATGTTTCTGTGGCTAAAGAGATAATCTCCATCTTAGGCTCTGAAAGTGCATTTTGAAAAGTTAGATTTTGTGGCCCTAAGTTGAAACGTGGTGTTCGGCGGGAGCACAACGAGAGCGATGATGTCCTAACCATGAATAATGCATATTCATGGCCTGGATACAAAAAAGTATGAGTGGAAGCCCAATATGTTTTAATGAGCCTCGTTCCCAGGGTGAGCGACTAAATTTCTCATTTGATTTCCAGACGTAGAAGGTTAAAGGAGCCGTGGTGTGCCAAAAACGGATAGAAATAGAGGAGAAAGCAATATGTGGTTTCAGCTGAGAAAATGCATCTTTTTCTTTTATTTTGAGCTGCTGTGTAGATCATGCTTCTTACACAATAAGCATCCGATATTCTTGCATATACTGTACACTTTTTTTGTCGTCATTGTTGCATAATTCATAAAGTATTCCTCCACGTGTGGAAAATGAATTTTGCTGCGTTCTTTTAATCTATCCAGGTTATTTGCAAAGTTAATTGAACAATGGGAAAGCTCTCAGAGGGCAATGAGTTCCATCTAATCCCATCTTATTATTTCTACCCCCAAAGTCTGCGTTAATTACCCTAGCAATTCAGTTTTCAGTCCAACATATCAATTTAAACCAGACAATTCATCCTGTAAAAAGAAGTGGTAATTTTGTAGTTTTGATAAAAACTGTTTAGTGTTTAAAATCCATTAGTTGTACAAAAACAACTCTATTTCTTTTGTTTTTAGTGTGATACGGGCTTGTTTGTGGCATATCGAAGCAATCTCTGATCCGATCGAGTAAGATTCATTCTGTGCATAGCGTAACAACCCATCTACATACAAACTGAATTTTGTGGATGCTGTTGTGCTCTTTTGTCTTTTTATTGGGTTTCTCATAAAGACATTTCCACTTCTTTTTTTTTTTAAGTTCCTCTCTGTTTACGCATCCGTCTCTTCCTGCAGTCACCATGTTGTTCACTGAAAGTCAGCATGCTTTATTAGGAGATGTTGACATATGCATTTCTTTCTCATTGTGCAGTGAGGTTGTTGCTTTTCATAGAATCCTCTTGACTTGCATGAATCTGGATTCCCAACAGTTAGAGGACTTGTCATAGAACCGAGTCCCCATTCAGTGTTTTCACATTTATTTTGTTGAATGAACTCATGTCTGTATGGTCAGAAGTCTACGTACAGCTGACAAAGATGTTCAGGTTTTCCATATTTGGATCTGGGGATGCAGAGTAGACGGGATCTTTGATGTATTTTGGTGCAAAGCTGTCAAGAAGTATTTCATCATCACTCTGACTCAAAGCTGAGAAAATATTTACACCCTTACTGGTTTTTGCTGGTTACATTTGAATGTTTCAGATATCAAAACAAGTGTAAAGGTCACAGATGACCCAATTAAACATTAAAGACAATTTTAAACTATTCAACCCAGTTTGCCCCAATGTGTAACTATAATCACAGACATAAAAAATCAGAAATTGGTTATGATTTTACTTCTTTAGTAAAACCAATGCCTGATTACCGCCAGCCTTCTACAATCAAGAAATTACTTTAATAGCATGTGTTTGGCAAGATTTTTATTTTTTAAAGCACCACCTTCCAATCAAAAATTAAGAAAAACACAAATTGAAGTAATTGACGTGCATCAGTTTGAAAATTGTGATCAAATCCAATTCTAAGACTTTGGGGGTCCAGTAAACCCCAGTGAGAGCCACTATCTAACAACCGAGACTCATTCAGGAAATCTAAAATGGCATTGCAGAACTTATATGCATCAGTTAAGGTTTGTGAAATAGGTAATTAAAGAAAAAATAATAATATGCAAAAGTTACATCCATAAATTTCTATTTATGGATGTAACAAGCAACAAATGATCAAACTGAATGCACAGCTGTCATGGTTTTGTTTTTGATCGTATTCCAACAAACTTTTTGAAAAGTTTTCCATTTGGAGTAAAAACTTAGAATATTAAGAAAAAAATGATGTATTTAAATTCAGACGCGGTTGTGGGAGTGCAATGGTCTGAGGCTACTTTTCTCTTAAAATTTATATGAAATAAAACGCCAGCGGTAACTCTCGAGAGCTACTAACCTGCAAATTCTGGATGCACCCCTGCTACATGAATCAAATGGTTGAATTCCCTCATCAGCTCTGCAATGGTCTGGCAACAAATTATTCATTTTATTGAGGTGTGTTGGAGAAGGGCTGCATCTAAAAGTTGATGGATGGTAGCTCTCGAGGTCCAAACCTGGGAATTTTGATTTAACACCCTTCAGTTTGACCAAAAAGAAAACGAACAAAAGAAATCTATAAGGATGCAAGCCAAGGTCTTGAAGATTTAAACTGTCCCGCCTCATATGAAAGGTGAGAAAAAGGCTCGGGAACATTGAACACGGAGGATAGATTAATGAAAAGCCTGGATTATCTCCAAAATCCTTCACTTTCTATTAAATAAACAGCTGCATGGTGAATTAGGTGTTTCAACAGGATAAAACCATGAAGTAATAAAGCAGCCTGTATGTAGATAATGTGACATAACATTGCATTTATAATTTTCTCACTCTGGGGAAAAAAAAAAAAAAAAAAAAAAAAAAAACATGGGTCTAATGATAATTAATAGCCTGAAGAATATTATGCAAATGTAACATCGGATCATAACTATATCATGCTGTATAGTAGGAATGGATATGGCAGAGTCTTTCTAAATTATATGCAGCGTATTCCACAGAAGTGATAAGTTTGGCTGATAGACTGCTGAGCTGGGCTTGCAATTCCATTCTGATTATGTATATTTTTTCTACTTCAAAGCAAGAGCAAGTGGCAGGAAGCGTTGGCATTTGGAACTGTGATGTTGTTTTTCTTTTCTTTTTTCCTCCCCTTTTCCGTCTTTGGGTGCCTAATAAAACAGCGACTGCAGATGCAAGCCACCTCTTGAAAAGCACCAACACATTTTGTGCTTATGAATGAATTATTGAAAGCTCCTTCTCACTGGTGCTGGAGAACTGTGTGATCAAATAGTGCCAGAAAAACTTAAGTTTGAAAACTTGCAGCGTACAGCAGGACCCATTTTTTTATTTATTTATTTATTTATTTTCCCGTTTTTCCTCCCACCCTCACCAACTCCTTTGTGCTTCTGTCTTCCAAAGATGTCGCAGTGAATCTCAAAAGCAGACGCATTAAATAATAACCCTGCTCTGAGCCGTGCATCAGAAAGCATCGGCTGCATCTGGCTGACTGCTTGGTTATTCGCACAAAAGGGTCTTTTTCTGCCGTACAATGGGGCTTATCTGTAAAAATAAAGGCCACTCACAAGCTCTGAAGTCCTGAATAGTGACTCGGGAGTGGGATTTGATAAGAAAAGCGACCAAAAGTTAAAAATCCAGATTTACACTTGTGGCAGTTGTTTTAATCATGCAACAACAGTCCACACATTACATTCCTTTGAGCCAGTGCGTTTCCTCTGATATATGTATTCTGCTTTTGCTGCTAATCACCCTTGTGTGCTTTAGATCATCAAAGTACATTCAAAAAGCAGTTTTTAACTCTTACTAAAATGGAAAAAAAAAGAAAATCTATCTAAGCCAAACTGGCCTGGTGTGAAAAAGTAAATTTTAAAGGTCAGACAATAATCAGCCCCGGGTTGTGGCTTTTGTTCATGAGTTTTATTTTTATTTTTTTAAGGATTACCTTAGCATTACCTTACACTACATAAACTTTTAATCTTAAAAAATGAAATCATTTGAATACTTTTTTCATTCGCCAAGATTATCTCTGCTCAGTTTTAACATATGTGTCTTCTGAAGCTTGAAAGTGCGACAAACACAAGAAAGAAGAAATCTGTAAAGGTGCAAATAGTTTTTCACAGCCCTCCGTCTGCCCACGCTGATCTGGATCACACATTAAAAAGTTAAAGGAAAAAAGAGGAATGGACTAAAACAGATAAAAAGGGCCATTTTCGTCTTGTATTGAGCTCATCAGAAAATCATAAAACACTTTCCTCGAGCTGTGGATATTTTGGTATTTTTCATAATCGCTCTTTTTTTTCTTGCTTGCGTCAAATAATTGGATGTTTGCTTGGGTCTGACTGAAATGTCAGGTGGGGACGGTTTGCAGGTGGTTCCATTGATTACTGTCGTCTTCCCACACAGACACTGGACGCAAGGCGATCAATACGCAAGATGC